ATCCAGCTCAGGACTTTCCAAATGTTCACGTTTCTTTTTTTTTTTTTAAATATTTTATTTATTTATTTGAGAAGGAGAGACAGTGAGAGAGTACAAGTGGGGAGGAGAGGGAGAAGCAGGCTCCCCGCAGAGCAAGGAGCCCGACATAGGGCTCGATCTCAAGACCCTGGGATCATGACCCGAGACAAAGGCAGACGCTTAACTGACTGAACCATCCAGGTGCCCCCAAATGTTCACGTTTCTTACTGACCCTGGGCTAGTAAGAATTTCAATTTCCATCAATTTGACATAATTGGAATCATTTAATCTCTATTGCAGAGAAAGCCATTCTCCCTTTAACTTAGGATATCATTGAGAATAACTAAATGGCTCCTCACAGCAAGTAATTTAATATAAAATTTATATTCAAGGAAATAGGAGAAATAGGAAATATAAGATTTCCTTATAATCAAGGAAATTGTTTTTCGTTTATTAGCTCATTCATCACATCATTCCACAAAATTAGGTTGGCATCTAGCCCAGACAATGGTCAAAATGCATTGGTATTTAAATGTTTTGTTTTGCCATTGACGTGGCTTTTCTTTACCTCAAATTTTGTTAAAATCTTTATACAATCTTTTTAAAATAAACTTTAATGATATAGGCATCCATTCGAGAAACTATTGATTGTGCACCAGGCATCATACTAGTTCTATTGTCATGGTTCTTATAGTTCACGAGGGTAGAGAAAAGGACACAAAAACACTTGAGCTGTAGGAGAACTAAAGAGGGCACTAGTGCATTCTACAGTGAGAACAATGCTAACTGGAGTAGTCAGAGAGGTAGTCAGAGAAGTATCCCTCCGTGACACCCACGGGAAAAGAAGCCAAGATAGCCAATGTTCTAGGAAAGCTAATGAAAAGTTCTTGGAATAAGAAAGCTTGGCATGTTATAGGCAGTGAAAAAAGGTCAATGTGTTCAAAGAAAATTGAGTAAGAAAAAAAATGGAATAAATAACAAAGCCAGAGAAATATTCAGGAATGAGAACAGAGGAAATTGTCTATTCTTGGTAAGGAGTTTCAATTTTATTCTCAGAAAAATGGGAAATCATAGAAGGGTGTTATGCAAGAGAGTGACACGATATGATTTACAATTTGCAAATTCAGCGTGGCAACTGGGTGGGGGAGATTAAGGTGTATTGGGAGGCACCAAGTATGCGCAAAGTGACGGAGTTGCAGCAGTCCACGTGGAAGGTGATAAGGTGGAGGCACCGATGAGGAGAGTAGACAGAGGGGGTCGTGCCTATGGGACTTGGTGTTGGATTGGACGTGGTGAGTGAGAAAGGACGGACTAGTTTTCTAGCTAGGGAAATATAAATCATGATGCTATTTGCTAGATATGGAAGCAGCAGGAGGGCATTGCTGGGAGCAGAAAATCAGCTCTTGCTTTGAACCTCGTGTATCTGAGATGCTCTTATCAACCAAGTAGACAGGTCACAGGAGCAGGTGACACGAGTCTGGTGCTCACAGGTTAGGGCTAGGTTATATATGCTGGAATTTCCAATAAATAGATAACATCTGGAAGTGAATGAGTCCACCTAGGGAGAAATAAATCTTAGGGAACTCCAATATTTAGGGCTGGGGTAGAGGAGGAGAAGCGGGACAGGTAGGAACATCTAGTAAAGAAGGAAGACAATGAGACAATTTTATAAAAGGACAAGGGAAACTATTCCATAAAGGTGGCCCACTGAGCGGAATGTTGCTGAAAATTGGAGTCCAAAAAAAAAAAGACCATGAGAGTAGTTTCAGTCAGCTTTTGCCAGACCATCTCTACTATGCTGTCACTTAGGCCTATAAATGAAGCACCCAGCCGTGGCAGACTTATTGGAGTATAATGCATATATACCATTCAGTAAGAACAACATGTCTGCTGGGTAGCAGAATCCGTAGTGGTAAGTTATCTTCATATAATAAATGTACAACAGATCATTCTAGAATGAACCT